GGGGGGGCTATGGGGAGATGTGGGGCAGGCAGTTTCCTGCTTTCACAGTGAAAATGTTCAGTAAGATCCACCACAGCCTGTTGTGGAGTGGGAAGCATAAGTCCCATCTTGGGCAAGATGGGGAGTCTGCTGCTGGGCTTTGTGTCTCTATCTGATGAAAGCACTCTGATTTTAAAGTACACTTCTGCCCTATCATGGTTATGGGTTTTTTTTCCAGCTACCAAAGTTGTTTGGCTTTTTTCCTGTCTTACCACTCCAGATTTTTAGGTCAAATCAGTTTATTAATAATCTTACCGTCGTGCACCAGAGCGATGTGGCCGTATCCAGGCTGCGGGCACTGCAGAGGAATGTTTTCAGACACAGAGCAGAAAAAGGGAACCTACAGCAAACACTGATTTTTCAGCACATTGTACAATTTATGCTTCATGACTGAAGCACGTGAAACAGCTGCAAACATGGAGCAAGCTGGGGTGTCCGTGTTTAGACATGAAACAACAAGGAATAATAACTTGAGGGTTTCAAAGCGAGAACACAAATGCCCCCTCCCTGGAAGTGTTGAAGGCCAGGCTGGATGAGGCTTTGAGCAACCTGGTCTAGTGGAAGGTGTCCCTGCTGATGGCAGGGGGGTTGGAACTGGATGAGCTTTAAGGTCCCTTCCAACCCAAACCATTCTATGATTCTATGATTTAATCCTCAATTTTCTTACCACTTTTCCTGCACACCAGTTGTACAGACACCTGCTTAACCTGTAGGCAAACATGTTGGCCAACCCTCAAGCACCAGGATCCCTGTGATCCAGAAAGCCTGAGCAGGGAGCTGGGGGTTGTTCAGTGCCTGGATGGGTGTGTAACCTGCTCTGGAGAGTAGGAAGTGTGTCCTCTTGCTCTGCTGTTTCCGAGGGCATCACGTGCTGCCTTTTTGTTTCCTGCTAGGCTGGTATTATAGAGGAGATGCTGGAGGACACCTTTGAAAGCATGGAGGACCAGGAGGAAATGGAAGAGGAAGCCGAGATGGAGATTGACAAAATCCTTTTTGAAATTACAGCTGGTGAGTTTGTGTGTGTGTTTGCCCAGAGCAGAGCCTTGCCCCTGCTCTGTTCCATAACACAGCAGTTCAAACCTTCATCTCCTCTGACGTGGCTGTGCCCTCCCAGTGCTGTTTCTGCCGTTGCTAATGGGCAGAGCGCTCTGACAAACTGGTTTCTCAGGGAACACTGGCTGGGAAGGCCGGTGTGGTTCAGTAAGGCGTGAGTAATGTGTATCAGCTGATGTCTGTGCAGTTCTGTAGCTGAGGCTTTACCAGATCAGTGTTTGTCTGTACAGTGGATCCTCTTAACGAGGTGAAACTTGTGTGATTGACGAGACACACTGTTGTTCATGGAGCCAGGAAATAAACTCAGCTGCGTTGCTTTGAGTCTTAAGCTGTGTTGTG